GGTGAATGAGGAGAACGGGAACCTGTACGTGAACGAGAGGCTGGACCGGGAGGAGATGTGCGGCGAGTCGGCGACCTGTTCCGTGAACTTCGAGGTGCTGGTGCACAACCCGCTGAACATTTTCCGTGTCGATGTGTCCATCGAGGACGTCAACGACAATTCCCCAGTCTTCAGCAAGCCTGCTCTGGACCTCGAGATCGGTGAATGGACGATTCCCGGTGCTCGATTTCCGTTGGAGATGGCCCGTGATGAGGATGTAGGAAGGAACTCGCTGCTGACTTACCAGCTCACCAGCGACCCGTCATTTTCACTGTCCATGAAAGAAAAGCCGGGTGGAAAGAAGCAGCCGGAATTAGTGCTAGAGAGAGCTTTGGATAGGGAGAAGCAGAGTTCCTTTGAGTTGGTGCTGATAGCAGTGGACGGCGGTGAACCTGCGAGGTCCGGTACAGTCCAGGTTCACATCAACGTGACGGATTTAAATGATAACTCACCCGTGTTCAGCAAAACTGTGTACGAGGCGCGAGTGGCGGAGAATCTGCCGGCAGGGTCGCTGGTGCTGCAGGTGCGGGCCACAGATGCTGACGCGGGTTCCAACGGGCGTGTTTCCTACTCCTTTGGAAACGTCCCAGGTGGAGTCCGCTTGTTGTTTACTGTCGACAGCGAGAGTGGTGAGGTCAGGACTGTGAGTCCACTCGATTTCGAGGAGGAAAATAAATACGTTTTTGGCTTAGAGGCTACGGACGGCGGCGGACTCACTGATCACTGCGAAGTTCAGATCGACATCACGGACGAAAACGACAACCCGCCCGAGATCATCATTTTGACACTATCGAGCCCGGTGCCTGAGGACGCACCGGTGGGCACCGTGGTGGCCCTGATGAACGTACATGACCCAGACTCCGGCGAGAACGGTCAGGTATCGTGCGAGCTGTCGGGCGAGGCGCCGCTGTCGATCGTGGCGTCGCCGGGCGGCTCGTACAAGGTGGTGACGGCGAGCGCGCTGGACCGCGAGCA